CAACACAGTGCTCTGTGCATTCAAAGGGAGTGGCTAGATGACTCAGTGGATAAACTGCTCAACCTGGAGTCAGGGAGACCTGAGTTCAAATCCAGCCTCAGACACTTCTTAGGTGTGTGACCCTAGGCAAGTCACTTCACCCAGTTTGCCTCAGTTTCCTCATCTGTGAAATGAGCTGGAGAAAAAAATGGCAAACCACTCCAGTATTTTTGCCAAGAAAACCCCAAAAAGGGTCACAAAGAGTTGGACACAACTGAAAAACCACTGAACAACAACAGCAACAATGATGCATTCATTGGAGGAAAAGATCACAGGGTGAAAAGGTAATTTGGCTTTAGTTCTCCTTTCCTTGTCATAGCTTTTAAGTCATTATTGTTAGGTTTTTCACAGACTCCTTGACTTTCTCCGTAATGGTAATTTAAACAGTATCTCAGTGACTGAGGATGGAATTTGAAACTTAATTTAACAAAATGTATTTGAATTAGAGTAGATTCTGTTTGTTGGGTTCCCTGTTAATGGTAAATGAGCTATGGTGAAAAACATTGTCTTTTTAAATCACAATAGAAACTTTATTGAACTGTCTGTGTAATCTAAATCAAGTGGTGAATTCGAAATAGTTACTCCTTTGTGGTCTGGTTTCTGGAAAACCAAATATGATATAAACCTATAGAAAAACAGTGAGCCTAAGTGTTTTATGAGAGTAACTGTCCTTGAGTAGATTCAAATGAAAGGCAGCAACTTGTGCCTTCCCTTAAAAGTATTTTTTTGGTGATTCCTCAAATTGACAGTTATGTTTGGAGTGGGCAGAAAAGAAGAAAGATGCCCTGGGACTAGTACACAGAAGTCTTTAAGTATCCAGAGGAGGGCAGCCAGGATGGTGAATGGCCTTGAGGTCATGTCATAGGAGGATCAGATGAAGAAACTGAAGGTAGCCTGGATAAAGAGAAGATTCAGAAGGACAGTGAGAGCTTTTTTCAAGGATTTGAAGAGTTTCCACATGAAAGGGATTATACTTGTTCCTTCTGGTCCCCAGATAACAGAAGTAGGAACAGTGAGTGGAAGTTGCACAAAGGGCAACGTTGGCATGAAAGAAGGAAAGCTTCCTGACAATTACAGCTATCCAGAAGTGGAATTAGGGGACAAAGAAGGAAGAAGGGCTGGAACTGCCCTCACAGGAAGTCTTTCAGCAAATGAGATGGCCGCTTGTTTGCGACTGAGGAGTCTCAGGTGTGAGTTAGACTGGGAAATTCTGTGATTCAGCTTTTTCTAGTTTTAAATGTCTCAAAGTTTTCTGTTTCCTTTTGGAATATTTTTGGTAACTATACAGTTGTATGAAAAATTCCATCTATACCATTCTCTGTCATGAATGTCACCAGTTCTAAGCATATGTGTGTGTGTGTGTGTGTACATGTATAGTATGTATATGTATTTAAATCATGAGAGCACGTCACAGTACCAGCCTCTAAGCCAGGAAGACCTGAGTTCAAGTGCTATCCCTACCACATAGTGGTTATGGGACCCAGAGCAAGTCATTTCACCTATCAATGCTCTAGGCAGCTCTCTCAGACCAGAAGTTGCAGATAAGGTAGGAGTTTCCTACACCAGTGAAATGACTGGTCCCTTAGTATGTTTAATTGGCTTTGTGGACAAGGTTGCGTTCCTTTGGGGGGTTTTTTTAGTTTGCTGAAGCTAGGTCACTGTTGACAGAACTAGAAGTATTCTATAATAATGGCTATTAGAATGGTCAGGAAGTATATTAGTAGAATCTACATGCATTTTTAGAAGTTTTCTTTCTTCTTTTTGTATATTTACATACATGCAAAGTTAAGTCAATGAGATATATGTACATACTTCATCAAAATAGTTTGTTTTAGAAACATGAACAAAATTGTGGTCAACTTTATATTGAAAAAAACTGAAAACTACATGTTCACACATGGTAATGAAGATATGAATCAACACTACAAACATACATGACAAAAGGTCATCTATTCTTTGCTTGAAGAACGCTGGTGAAAAGTTAACCTGCTACCTACAGAGGAGTTTTCCTGACCTCATTTTCTTTTTTTGACAGGGTGACTAGACTGGCAACTCAGAGCGATGTTGTAGATACACTTTACCTAGATTATAGCAAAATATTTGTCTAAATTAAGTGTCTCATGCTATTTTTCCTAGAAAAGATGGAGATAAGGGATTGACATTAGTATAGTTTACATGTATTTGGGACTGGTTGAATGCCCAGATCCAAAGAATAGTCATTAATTATTTAATGTCAGCTTGAACATTAGTCTCCAGTGGAGTGCCTCAGGAATCTTTGCTTGGCCCTGTGCTGTTTAACATTACTATTAATGACTTGGATAAAAATATAGATGGAACACTTCTCAAACATGCAGATGACAAAACTGGGAAAGACAGCTAACTGGATAACAAAATGTCAGGATTCAAAAAGATCTTGACAAGGTAGAACATTGTGCTAAAATCTGGTAAGACGAATTTTATTTGGTACAAAAATAGTCTTAAGCTTGTGTTTAAAACATCAGATTTGCAACCATAAGATGGGGAATGTATGACTAAATACCCGCAGCTCTGGGACTGTTAGCGAATTACAGTCACAGTGTGAGACAACAGTGTAATATGGCAGCCAAGAAAGCTAATGTGCTCTGAGGATGCATTAAGAGAGCCACGCGTGTCCAGGACTGGGGAAGCGGTGGTCTTACTGTCCTCTGTCTTGGGCAGCCCCTAGCTGGAGCACTGTATTCACTCCGGGCACCACATTTTAGGAAGGACGTTGATAAAGTGGTGTACCATCTAGAGAAGGAGAGTCAGAAGGTAAAGGGCCTCAAGATTGGGTCATAAGAGGATCGATTTAAATAATAACTGGAGAGAGATCTTTTGCCTGGAGAACAGAGGACTTGGGGTAATAGAACATGCCTTGTATATCGGGGATGGGAAAGGGGAATTACATTTGTTCTGCTTGGCCCCAGAGGGCAGAGCAGCGGAAAACCGGATAAAGCTGCAAGGAGCAGATTGAGAACAAATAAGAATTTCTGAGTACTTTCTATGTGCTGGGAACTCTGCTAAGCCCTGGGGCTACAGATACAGAAAGGGAAAGACTCTAAGAGCTCACATTCTAATAAGGGAAGACACCACCTATAAGGGAGTGGTAGACAGCTGGGGATTGGGCAGGAGAGGCACTGGGATGTTGAGGTAATCCAGGAGGCCCTCATTGGAGACACCCTTCCCAGTGCGGTGGTTCTGTGGATTACTGTGCCCAAAGTCAGAGATGGAAAAATATGAGTCAGAGGAAAACATACATGGCAGTATAGGAGGTAACAAGATAGTCTGGATAGATGCAGGGATGAGTTGTTAAAGCCTAGAAGTCCTCGAGCAATGGGTGCTAGTCCAGTTCTGAGGTTCTGTGATTTGTACGTTTCCTTTTCTAGATATTCACTATCTCTTTAAGAAGTTATAGAGCATTTGCCAGAAATTCTCTGTGTATATGTCCATTCTCTTTCTCTTCCCCCTTCTGCTCACCTCGGGCAGCGCTTCTTAAGCTGGGGGTCACGGTGCCACAACTAAAGGGGTCACAAGTGGAAAAAAGTTTAAGAAGCCTTGATCTGGGGATATCTCTTTCACTGTCCCCTACTTAGCTTTGATATCAACTCCTGGTACCCATTTTTTTCTATCCTTGCCCATAACTGCTTGGAACAGAAAAAAAAAGCTGAGAGTTGAGCAGCTTTGCCTCCTCTTGAGAACAGGGTACATTATCCCAGCCTGAATCACCCTGAGCAGGGTACATTCCAAGATGAGACTATACTTTGATATTTAACATCCATTGTCTCTTCTTCTCGTTTTTGAAAATTTCCTACTTGTCCACAAGCAGCTTGTGCATCTGTCTCGATCTCTCTAGATGACTCCTTGTCTTCCTCATCACAATTGTTTCTAATGTCATGTATCTTAAGGGCTTCCTGTCATGACTTCCCTTGTAAACTATTAGGTCATGGCACCTAGCTAGTTTTTCTCTAAATGCCTAGAAATGTGTTCTCCCGAAGTCTGAGTTCATGGCAGGCTAGGCCTGGCTTTCCTTTCCCTCTCTCTGTCACATATTTTAACAGGGAGTGTTCACTCCCACTCAGTTCCCCATTCTTTCCATACCAGTTGGTGAGAATCTAATCCAGATTAGACAGTCTTCTCATTGGTTCTGTCAGCTTTTGAAGGAAGAAATGTTCAAACTTAATCTAATTTAATGTTAAGCTACTGAAGCTTTTTTTTTTTTGCTAAGTTACCATTCCATGTCTAAGACACAACTATTTAATTGTATAAAATGAAACTAACATATTTTGTCAGTAAAATTAAATAAAAATTCCAAAATATCTAAGATATATTCATATATGAATTACATTATTCAGTTTGAAGCATCATACCTCATTTTCATCACCTATGTTAAATTTATCATGCTTATATACAGCAAGATAAATTATTTTTTTATTCTCCACCTTGATTTTTTAAAATCTGCTTTGCCTGTTTTCCTTTAACTATCTACAAATTACAGTGTTGTACACATGCTACCAAGAGAGCTAGAAATGAGGGGGAAATGAAAAGTTATCACAAAATGTGCTTTGAATGTGCTCTATTACTGTTTCCATTATTCTGGCTATTTAGTGTGACTTTAAGTAGTTTTGATAGCATCTAAGAAGGAAGAGAAATTTTTTTCTTCTGCTTTTGTTTTCTTTTCTATTTTCTATTTTCCTTTTCTATTCTTCCTATAGACAAGCATTCTAAATACAGCTCATACAACTCAAATTTCTGATTTTGGGAGACACAGAATTCACTGTGCATGTTTTAAAGTATATAAAGAAGAGGCCGTTCTCTAATGGAGAGTTTTGCCTCACAAATAGTCATCATGTTGGGTTAAGAAAACAAAACAAAATGTAGTTACAATGTTAAATAGTGTTCTCATAATGTCTAATAAGCCTAACTTTGTTTCTATGACTCACCAGATGCCAATTCACCAGAATCTTAAGGAGCTGCTTGCCATAAGATCAGAGCTTCAGAAGAGGGTGGAAGATTTACAGCGGGAAGCTGCGACACGCTCTATTTCATCGTCTTCGGATCGAGGGCCTTCGCCTTCCCACTCAGTCACTCCAGTACATACATCTGTTTGATGTGGCATGGAAGCCAGGAATGCTTCTTAAAATGGGATTATCCATACATAGAATATACTTCTGAGACTGTCTTAGTATACTGTAAACATCAACACCCCACTCCCCACAAAATACACACAGATGTGAAAAGGGGGTTTTGTAATGGTTAGGATAGAATTTTGTCTTTTTTATATTTAGGCCAAGAGTTCTTTATTCTCTATTGTGGTGTTTTCAGTAATTGATCCTTTGTGTGGTTGTTTTGACATCTTTGCAGCACTCTGTTTTGTGAGCAACCGTGACTTACTTTTAAATCGCCAACAATTTCTCAATCTTTAAAGGGATCCTGTCTGTTAGACTGATTACATGAGAAAGCACTATGCCTTAGGCAGCTTTTGAGAAGCCAGTACAAATGGACTGTCATGCTTACCTTGAAGGCAGCTTCAAGGTGTTTTTCAAAAGTGAATGCATTACAAACAAGACATTTTGTACCTAAAGATCATGTGTCAGCCAGTTAAGTGATTTCTCTAACTTATTTGATAAAACTTAAACCAACTTTTAAGTATTTTATGGGGAAAGAAAAGACACTGTTCCATTTGTGGTAAGATGTTTCCTTGATGAAAGGAATAAGCCTTTCCAAGTGATGTATACGTGCAAGATTTGTTTTTAAGAGCCAATTCTTGTAATGCTTTTTCACATTTAAAATGGATATGTTCACGTTCCTTGTGAATGTGTCATATGAATCTGTTGTATATGAAATTATTTTAGTTAAATCTCATGGTAATCTTTTAGAGTATGGTACATTTGGATCAGGTCCTCAAAAATTTATATATCGATAGCATAGAAGCACTTTAAGTCTTGCAACATGCACACCAGTCTAGTATTATTTATTTGCATGAATATCAATGGTTGTACATTGTTTCCGGCATTTCCAAACTGCTGAACATAAAGGACTTCGTTAATTTTGTTTTTAATATTATCTGTTTGATTGGATTCCTTTAAGTTGAAATTATTACTTTCTTAGTACATATTTTATATCAAATATTTCTAATTTTATTGGAATACCTTTTCTCAAGTTTATTTCTTATCTATTACATGTTATCCTTTTAAAAAAAAAAAAGTCATCAGGCATAGACTCTGAGTGTAAAAAGTTTCTTTTTGTTTTTTCTTTTCAACTACTAAAGCACCTAGTTGTTTTCAAGCTAGTCGTTTCATTTATGGGGAGTTTTCTGTGCACAGTTACCTCATGTAGCTCCACTTCCTGGCCTGGAGCTTCATGACTCGATCAGGGTTTCCATGAATGTAGTACTAATCAGTTGATTGTATGTACTAGGTCTATAGCTCTTAACTCCATTACGTGGTATATATTTTATACTGTTGAGACTGTAGGTTTCTACCACGTGCCAGCGTATTAATACTTGTTCATCATCATCCCAAGGGAAATGTAGTTTAATGGACAGTACTCGAAACTCCAACCGTCACCAATTTAGAACAAAAAGATAAGCCATCCTTTATCAAAAGGAGAACATTAACTGCCCTCAGGAGACTTTAATTGGCCTAAAATTCCTGTGCATTAACAATGATGTTATGGTGACCTCATTTTGGAGAATTTGCTTTTTTTTTTTTTTTAAATGTTTAGAGTTAAATAGCTGAAAAATAGCCGTGTTTCAATAAGTTTCAAGCCTAGCTTTTAAAAATACAAGGTGTCCCAAAAGTCTTCTTTATGTATCTTGGATTTTCTATTTCATGAAGTTTTTTTCCAGTGTGGAGACTAAGATCGAAAAAAAAAAGTATTCCAGTTAACTGTTGGATAGTTTGAGTTGTGGTCTTAACTTGTACCGTCTATGGTAGGTACCTGAATGGTATGTTTAAGGATAATTAGTGCTTTTTAGCCAGCAAACATGAGTGTCCTCCCCAAGTATAAAGGATTACTGGATTAGTGGATAAATGGCTACGGGATTACTTCTTCCATCTTATTTTTAGGTGTATGATAGTAAGAAAAATTGTTAAAAATCAGGTTTTAAAATTGGTACCGTGTTGTATTTACCTCATTTGAATGGTCTGTTATTCTAGACTTAAAATGATGATGAATGGAAATGTTTTTAAAAATTCATTTCCCTCTTTTTCCCTTCAGCTACAGCAGACTTGTTAATGTAGAGTAGGTTAAATGGCCTTTCTGATAAAACCAGATCATTTAATTGGGTATGTTAGTTACTGTTGACTAGATATGCTGGCCTTTTGGTGGGAGGAACAGAATTTGGAGAATTGCACTGCCTCCTTCCTAGCCCTCTTCTGCAGCATGGACCAGCTAGCTGGCCACTTGGACCACACTGGTGAGGCCAGGGCATGAATTCTGAGCACACCCCAGCTCCAAAGGAACTGTCTAGGTAAGGTTATCTCTAGTCTTCAGGAAATCGCTTCTAGTGATCTGAAACAAGCACAACAGAGCCTTTTTGGGGAATTTTTTCCTTCTGTATATAAAAGCACTTGAATTTTCATCTTGTTATAGAAGGGATTACTTTTCCATTTTCTTTTTAGGTGTATGATAGTAAAAAAAATTGTAAAATTAAAGTTTTAAAATTGGTACCATATTGTATTTGCCTCATCTGAAAGTTTCATTCTAGTATTAAAATTGATACGTGCTTACTTTCGCATTTTTCTTTTTTTAACTATGTTTTGGTTTGTATTCCTTTGGGGGGGAAATGAGTAAGTACTTGAACTATGTTTGTCACAGGTCTTTTCTGTTTTGACTGAAATTGATAAGTATCTTTGCTAACAGGTATTTTATTTGCTTGGCTTATCTTCAGTTCCTGGTCCTTGTATCATTTCCCTGTTTGCTAAAGCTAAACTTGGATCAGAGTGCACTGCTTTATGTGCACTGTTTATCCCCTGGTAAAATGATTCCCCAGTGGAAAGAGTTCAGGCAATCTTTTCCCCACAAACTTTGGCTGCACTTCTCTTTTTTTTTAAATATAGTCTCTTGTGAGGATGTATAGGAAGGGATCAGAAAAGCTCAGAGGACTTACATACTTCAGAAGCCCCCTAATAATAATGAGGAAAGCATTTATACAGTGCCTCAATGTCTGGAAAGTGCAATACTACAGTATCTCATTTTATCTTCCCAACAACCCTGGGGGGGAGTGCGTGCCTGCTTGTGTGTGCATGCATAATATTCAGTACCTAAATGCCACTGGAGATGCAGGAATTAATAAGCCCAGGTCAACGGCCAGGAAAACTGTTGTTTTTAAGAGAATGCAAATATCCACACTGAAATCTTAAGTTCATTTTTTGAGTGTATGATTTAGTAGTGATGGAGGAAAATAATTGTTTTTTAAAAATGTTTTATCATCTCTTAGATTTCATTTTTTGCTATACTATACCCCTAATCCCCACTGAACCCTCTCATGTAAAAAGGAGGAAATGTGCACACCAGAGGTTAGGGGACTTGCCCAGAATCACACACAAATAGTAATGTGATAGCATGAGATTGGAACTTAGTTCCTGTGACTCCAAGTTCAGTACTTTTTTTGGAAGACATGAGATTATTTCTGCATATTCGGTCTCTAGCTTAGCTCCTTTCACAAAAACTTGTGTTCTTCCACTCTCTTCTGCCATATTTCCTTTCATAGCATTTTGTTTTAAATTTACTTTAGTTTTCAAATCTCTTTTTCAGTGCCTTTACTGCTATGGAGCTATTCCTGGTTATTTGGGGGTTTTTTTCACTCTTCCCCCACAATTCCTGTTGCAGTGAATTGATCAGCCTGTACTACCCGAGTCTCTCCCCACACAGTTGAAAACTCTTAACATCACTGGGCTCATAGGATGGGAGCTTCTCCCCTATCTTTCATCTGCTTGCTGCAATTTTAATTACTATATTTCTCGTTTGTTGATTGGTGATACGGTTGATATGGTGGTATTAGCGTTTGATTTTTAGTAACATCCTCATCTTGCTGGTCAGCTCTTGAAATCTGATAGAATTTTCTTGTTAATCCATCTGGCCCCTGAGTTTTGTGTTTTTGTTTATTTTTCCTTGAGGTTCATTTATGTCCTATCTTATTTTTGCTCTCTTCTAAATAATTCCTTGGTTGCAAGATCCTTTTCCATCCTCTGCTTAGTTTGGGTGTTTCCTAGGGTTCAAGGATCATTTCAACACTACACACTATGTAGCCTTCATCTTTCTCTTGAACTTCAAGTCACACATCAACTGCTTGCTGGTTTACTTTACCCCTCTTCCAAACTTGCCAGTTTCTGTTAAGGGTATCACTATCCACAATCTTGAAGTCATCTTTGCCTCTTCACCTGCACTTACCATTGGCTGACAAGCTGTCAATTCTGTGGCTACATGCTCTCTTGTTCTCCCATGTGGTTGCCATCTCTCTGTGGGCCTGCTGGAACAATCCCTACATGGTTTCCTCACACACAACCATAGCTGTCACCAAGCTGAGGCGGTTTTCCGCTGCTATTTGTGATTTGGACCCAAGCCCTCTCTAGTCAGAAAAAGCCTGAGGAATTAAATTTGTATTTGGAATGCCCTTTCTTATTAAAGTTTTGGGTGCCACTGTCATCATATCATTCGTGGTCCATGACAGGCTGAAAGGGACAAATGAGCAATCTTTAAAGTAGATGCCAACCTTCCCTGCAAAGGATGGCATACCTCTCTTTACCTATCAAAGCCCTGGGGGGGGGCAGTAAGCAATATGGTGGGGGGGGGGGGGGGGGGGGGGGGGGAGGATGAGAGAACACACTGAAAAAGGCCACCTGGAAGGAAACGATTTCTTTGTGTTTATTAACACGGTATTCTTTAACACAGCTTTAAAGCTAAGAAAGAACTTCCAAAAAGTTTCACAAGACATTTCTTTTATGAGAGTATTGTTAGACTAGTTTAAAAATATTTATAGGAACACAGAGTGGTTACGACTTACTTGTGTGGGAACTGTGGATATGCCAATCCAGGTAAGCATGACTAGAATGCTGTTGAGAGGTTCACTGCAAATACAATTCATTCTACTTGCCCTGCAAAATGTTTTTTATCTTTACTTCTAAAATAGCTCTTGATAGTTCAATTTTAAGCTACTTTGTTCCTATTCTGAATAGGTCTCAGATCTTGAGTGGCAAAGAACCCTTAGTGATCATTTCAGATCTCTCATTGTGTAGAGAAGGAAACTGAAATACTGACCATTCTCCCAAAGTCACAGAGAGGCCCAGTGGGGACCAGAACCCCAAATGGCCTGGGGCCAGGTGAGAGCACCAAATTTCTTTCAACTTGACAAACACATAAGAAAAACTTTTTGCATCCTGCCCCTTGGACATGTGTTCAGGGCCTAGGATAATTACATTACACGAATGCATTCAGTTTTCTAAGTGATAGCCAAGAAAGCCTTTTCTGCTAGTTAATTTTCATAGGATTAAAGGATATGTTCTCCAAAATAAAAACGAACAACAATCCCCTCTTGCTCTCAAAAAGAAATGTGGTTTTTCAGACATAAGCACGTTCCCATATACTAACAGGTAATGTTATCTTTGTCACAACATAATATAAGTAAATAATAAGTGCTACAGACACTTTTCTATAATTTATTTTTTTCTAGGGTGGGAAAGTTTAAAAAAAAAACAACCTGTATTTCCCACTTTTAGAAAGCTGAGTCAGGTTGCACATGCCAAAGACTACCCCCTCAAAGTTTTAGGGGAAAAAAAGTCCAGGTTTGGGTACCCTGAAATAAATATATAGTAGTAGGATTTTTCTAACTCTACTCAATGACCTCAGTGCTCATTTGCATCTCTTTCTTATGCTTAGTTTCTGATTTCGTTTTTTTTTCCCTTGTTCTATTTCTATATCACCCCTGACTACCTAAGTTCTGTACCTTATTTCAATTTCCCAACTGTACTAGAGAAGCACAGGCCTGTACTTCCTTGGAAGAACTGCTGTCTGTGAGTACAAGGGAGCCAGTGGTCCCAAGGAGCTAGAAGAAATCTTCTCCTGGGTTTTCATCAACCCTCCTCTTAGACACTTCTGTTCCATGAGGGGATGGGCCAGTTATCTCACACTTTTGTGACCCCAATCACTTTTAAACATATTAACACTAAGTTTTTTTCAGCCCAACATAAATAACCAAATCCTCCCCACCCACAAAAAAGCTTGTCAATAAGAAGCCTGTTATTCCAGAGAGCTGGAGAACAGCTTTCAATCCAAATTAAATAAGCAAAATTACAAGCATCTGAAATGTATATGTATGCATTTGCTGTGGACTTAGATTAGATCTTTGCAGTCTCTTGGGAAGGTTTCTCTGCAGACTGAGTTTGCAATGCTGAATATTTAACTAGGAAAAGACCAAAAAAGAGAAGCAATTAGGTTAGAGGTTAAAGAGAAGAAATAGGTAATATCTCTACTCCCTGTCCAGCCCAATCTTTCCTTCTATGTACAGCTAATAACATCAAGGATGTTTTTGGTTGAGAATAATATATCTTAATTACATATAATTTAATTTCACTGAAGCAAAAAAGTGTTCTTTTCTGATCTATCCCCCCAAAGAGATTCTCATAATGATTAGTACATATATATGTAATTTTAATCCAAACAAATATAACATATATTAGAGGTACATGCTCAATTTTTATTTATTTACTGATGGGGTATTCAATCAAAAAAGTTTGTAGACTGCTGCTCTAACCAACTAAGCAAACCAGTCACAAACATCTCACACTACAGGAAGGAATTATCCCCTCAGCTTTTCCAACAATGGAATGAAGAGACACAGTGGAGTTTTCCAAAGCCTAGGCGACTTTTAGAATGCAACAAAGAAGCTCTCACCTTGAGGTTCTTCAGTGCTCACACCTTCCAGGCTTTGACCTTTGACATAGTCTGTATTGACACCCTCTAAGTAGTAGAAGAAAGGAGAATTAGTCATGGAAACAGCCAACTATGAAAAACTAGTGACCAAATTCCTCTAATAAAAAACCATGGCTTCCTCAAAACCTTCAGCTACCTGAACATTTTCAGATACATGAAGACAATGAGAATTCAAATGATTTTTTTCAGCAATAATAATCAATGTTGAATGCCCCAAATAGATCGTTCATTAAAGTAGGATTCTTAAAGGTGTCCTATTTCAAAGAGACATTCCAAATGACAGGAGCTATGCAATCTGTTTCAGGCAGTGTTCAATGCTTAGTTTCCATGGCTAGGCATGCTTGGCACATAGCTGAAGTGAGGTAAGGTAAGCCAAATGGTAATGAGTGAGTCATGGGTGAGGTTCATTGGGAAATGGTGACAAACCATACGGTTAAAGGCTATCAGTGATAAAGAGCTGCCTTCATATCCTCATCTTCACTTGCCAGCATCAAAAAGTGCTGCCCCCAGATCTGGGCCTTCTTCAGACCACATCCTCTTATCTGGCAACAGGCCCAGTGACCCATTTGGGAACCTGTACTTCTTGCCTTTTTTGAAAGGAGTCAAGAATTGCTGTGTCCTCTGAACATGGTGTCTACGATGCTGGTCCAGAAGAGGGATGAATCAGCCTACATTGTAGAGGAAGGCTCACTCCACAAAGTTTCTAAGAAATGAAAGCAGCTCTGAAAGGAAGAGGCCATATCCTATCAACATGTAACCTGGGAAACCAATCTTGTCTAACATACTTGCAAATTAACAAATATGGGAGCCAGGTGGGAAAAATTAGTACTAACTAGTATAACCAGTGCACTGATAGTGGACTTTTTTAGGCTACTGATGGGAGATGACAGTGACTTTATCATCTTTAAAAGTCTGAAGGCAAATTCCTACTAAAATATATTCTCTCTCTAGCATCCTTTCAAAAAGCTCCCCTCCTCTTTTTCTTTCTTTTTTTTTTTTTGGTAAGGCAATTGGGGTTAAGTGACTTGCTCTGGGTCACACAGCTAATAAGTGTCAAGTATCTGAGGCCGGATTTGAAAAGCCCCTAAATCTTATCAAGAGCCCTTTTCCTGCACATGGAAATGAAAATGGGATCTAATTTCCTGCCTTCAGTTAAAACTCCACTTTGTTTTTTTACTTATTTTATTTAGTTTATTAACCTTCCCATACCTGATGGCAGCTCAAGAAAGAAGAAAGATTCAGTTCAATCTGGGCCTGCAAATCCTGGTCCAGGGGGCAACAAAGGATGCATTTAGTGAGCTAGGTACTTCTTAAGTATGGCAGGTTCATACTGTCAAACTGAGCACAATATTTTAGCTCTTTCTGGTACCCCTAAATTGCTTAAGGGAAGAACCAAACAGACCCCCCCCCCATGTTTCCACTGTGCCTAGGCTATCCCCTTGGACAAAAAGATTAACCTGTTCCCTTTCTCCCCTCAGTTGAGTTAGAACAGTAGTTCCAGCAATCTTCCCAGTACCTAGGAAGGCAGGCAGTGGTGCTATTGTCTTCTCTAAAGAGGCAACGTTTTATGACATCCAAGTCACACTGCCTTCCTCCAGCAGCCCTTACCTGGAAGGATATGAAAACCTCTTCCCCATAGTGATCTCTCCTTGTCTCAACCCAAGCACACATCATTCCAGGTGCATTGTTCCAAGGAGATGTTCCTTTCTGTCAAACATCAAATGCTTTTCAAAGGACGATGGATTAAAAAAAGAAATGGCACAGGAAGAACATGGTTGCAACAGAAGAAATGTGCTTTTCAAACAGTAGAGGGGAGGAGGGAGGGTGGAATGATGATTAAGCAGGAGAAAGGGAAGCGAGAGCCAAAGCACCATCTTTACCTTCGCCCTCTGCAGCATCGGGGGATAAGGCATAAAGCTTACAACCCTAGAACAAAAACTTAAGACCACGATCAGCAAAACAGACTGAATCCCCAAGAAACTCACTGACTGAATATGTGTCATGACTTACTATTTCTCTGTGTCCCTCTCTTTCCTGGGCAAAAAAAAAAAAAAAATATTTCTTTGGCTGCTGGGATCCAAGAAATTATTGTTGTATGCAAATATACTTGCAGAATTCATGCTTCTGCCAGTGCCCCCAGAAACTACCTCATGTTCACTCTGGAACAGCGGTTGGACCTTCGTATCCAGCGCATTCTCAAAGTCCTAGTGCTGCTGCTTGACATCAGAGACTTTCATTTTGCCTTTCTATGCAGTGCCTTGCACGTAGTAAGTAAGCCTTTAGTAAATGGCCAAAGCTACCATGTGAGACTGCAAGAATAAACGGTGAAAACATAGTTCAGAGGGGGGGTTTTTTGCTTGCATGTAAAGAGTCAGTCATTTCCTTTGAAGTTGTTACTTTTAATTTGTTTTGCTAAAAGGTGCTTTGTTTCTTACCCCCATTCTTAGATAATACAGCTTCTCGAAAGGTGGTCATCAGGATCCTGCCAGGATTATTGGATGTGTGAGTTATCCTTAAGCTAAATGTGAGAAATCGCCCAGTAGAGTTCCCCTGCCTTTCAAAATCTAAAGCCATGCAACTATCTGCAAAGTCCAAAATGCCCAAAAGAACAATCATGAGTACAGAAAGATAGGCCACAACATCAAGCATCAGCACTCGATACTCCAAAACCTTTAAGGCCAAATTATGAAGCAAAACTTTGGTGGTAAGTGAAAAGAGAAATGAAATGTTCTATCTCACAGACTCAACTGAACACAGCTAATGATGCACTGCAGCTAGCCTACTGGTGGGCTGGGCCTTGATGCAGCCATTGTAGAAAGCAATATGGAACTATGGCCACAATGTCATAAAACAGTGCGTACATCAAAATAGCAGATCTTTCGGTGGTAGTAGCAAAGAACTGGAAACTAAGGGGTTATACCCAGTTACAGAATGATTGAATAAGTTATGCATGGCATACAAATGTAATGGGAATCTTTTGTTCTGTAAGAAATGATAAAAAGCCAAAAAGGGAACAGAACAAGTTATACAGTAACAACACTTAAGAACTCTGATCAAGGAAATGACCAATGACAATTCCAGGAATGCTGATGAAGCGTGCTACCTACCTCCTGGCAAAGTGATGGGGGACTCGGAGGAGAATGAGACAATCTATTTTACTTCAAATGGGTTTGTGTTACAAGGGTTTTGTTTTTCTTTTCCTCCAAGAAGGAGGGGGCAGGATATAGAAGAAAAATTATTTATTATTTAAAATAATTCAAAAGAAAAGTTTCAATACAGTTTGCCCACCATGGACTTAGGAGTTGAGGGGACATAAAGACCATTCTGGCACCCTTTTCCATCACAGGATACAGGCAAATATATTATATCCTTAAATAAACCTTGTCTGGGCAGCCAAGTTATGTGCCAAGCTCTTATTTTACCGATTAGTAGCACAGTAGTAAGATCTAACATGTAACAATCCATTTGCTCCATTTGGAATTAGGCAAAATGAAGCGAATGAAATGTCCAGGCCCTTTGCCTACTACAAAGCATATAGGAAGACCATGATAATAAAGGTCCCCTCTACACCATTTACAGCAATACTTTTTATAGTAGCAAAGAAATGGAAACAAAGTAGATGCCCATGGATTAGAGAATGGCTACACTGATTGTGCATGGTACATGAACTGATGCAGAACAAAGTAATCAGAGTCAAGAAAACGACGACTGTGACAATGGAAATGGAAAAAGAACCACAACCACAAAACAACTAAAAATGAACGTGACAGAATTGAAAAGAACAAAACTTATGGCCCCAAAGAAAAGCTATGACAAAACACCTCCCCCATTCCTTTGAGAGGGTAGGAGGCTCCATGAATCTGGAGTAGTGCATAAATTTTTGGATCTTTTCAATGTATTGATCAGCTTTGCTGATTTTTTTTTTCCTCTTTCAAAAACATTCATGATATGAGATGGCTCACTGGGAGGGAACAGGTTAGGAGAAATCAAAAATTCCACCCAGGACAAAGAACTATGAAGATGTCAAATTTCTGTGGACACTTAACAGCTCTCTCCCTCAAAGGTTCTAGGTCTAAGTCTCTAGTTCTTAGCTCCAGATCTCTACATCTAGGACTTAATACGCCTACACATTGATCTGCACATCTTTAGGTCTCTCTCCCTAGCATCTTAACATGGATATCTTTCATGTAGATATAAATCTTAAATTCCTATTTCCATGAATGTGTGCATGTATACCCAGGGTGTCCCAAAAGTGCAGTTTTAAGCTCATTAATAAATTTGTAAGTCTGAAAGTGCACTAAGACTTTCAGAACACCCTGCATACACATAGATCCTTATGTTTCTATGTCTACCCCTTCTTTTCCCATTGTCCTGGAGGTGCAATGCCTTCACTCCCCTCTCTCCTCCATATAATTTGTCATTTCCCAGGATAAGAATGGAAGGCCAAGGACACTTTCATCTTTGTCTTTGTATCCCCAATGCCTGGTACAATTCCTGACAAACAACAGGCACTTGACAAATGCTGGTTGATGGACACAATGCCCTTGCATGGGATTGTATCCACTTACTGTATACTGAAACCACAAAATGCAACCCTTATTTTAGCAGACTTCTAAATAGGAGAAACATCTGCTTTAAATATGACTTATTGGGATCTTTTTTTTGCACGCATGTGAAATCAATAATTTTCTTTGAAGGGCACAGCCTTAGAGTTTGCATGCTAAAAGCTCACCAATTTTTGTTTCTTTCTTTGAGTAGATTTTACAAGAGTCCTAATCTGACTTCCTGGCTCCCCTCAGCCCCCTGCATCCTGCCAAAGATCAATTCCATTGAGCACTTTTCTAAAGATTCAATACAGCTTGATGTCCAAATATACAGGAATTGATGGGACATAAAGACCCATTCCAGGTCTGGAAAGAATATCAGTGGCACTCATGTTCTGGTACTCTTTTCCATAACCTTGACACCTATGCTTTATCTTTTGATAAACCCTGATTGGATAGGTAACTTATGTGTTAGGCTCCTCT